CTCTCTCTCTCTCTCTCTCTCTCTCTCTCTCTCTCTCTCTCTCTCTCTCTCTCACTTTCCCACCTGTTAATCACTTGCACACTTGCACACATTTGCATTTTATTTTTTTCATCTCTCTCTCTCTATTTTTCTTCTCAAAGTCTCTTTTTCTCATTCTCTTTTCATCTCATCGATTTCATCATCAACAACAAAACACACACACAAACATTTTTAAACCCTTTTTGCTTCCTAGATTGCGGCACAACTGACGACAGACCAAAGGTGTACAAAGCGCTCTTTATTTTTTTTCCGTTCATCATTTTTTTGTTTTTGTTACATTTTTAAGATTTTCATTTTTTCGTAAAAAATCCTCCGCAGAATGGTAAAAAAGGTCACTTTCCTAACAGAACAAACACATTTTTCATTCATTCATTCTTTTTAAAAACTAAAGACGAAAAATGGTTTAACTTAAACATTCTCCTCTTCTTCTTTCCTAATTAATTTCCTACCAACACTCACTCACTCACTCACTCACTCACATTTCCTATTTATCCTACAAACTACAAACTACTGTTGCCAAACTTGATCAAACTAAACCTACTAAAATAAAATGAAAAATGATCACACAACACAAATGCATAAATAAAAAATAAACAAAAAATAAAACATAAAAAACCTCTCTTTTTTCTTTTAATCTTATCAACAAACAGCAAATCAATCGATGAATGACTTCTTTTTTGACTTTTTTAGTTTTCACTCTCACTTCTTCTCTTTTTCTCCCTTCTCCCTTTCTTATCAGCCATTGCTCTGACACTTTTTTTCTCCTTATCAGCCAACACAAAAAAAAGTTGCAGCTCTTCTTCTTTGCCGTCCTCAAGTTTTCTCCCGAAGTACTCAAACCGATTTTGCAGCTAAAGACACAGAGAAAAAAAGAAGAAAGAAAAGCAAAACAGAGCTTCCAACAGACTTTAAACAAACCTCGGAGAAAAAGATGGCCAAACTCCTTCTCCTGTTCATTACCTTCCTCATTTTCTTCAGTTCTTTATTCTTCAAACCAACCTTATCAAAGAAGTCATCCCAAAAACATTCGAAACCTCTCACTTCAATTCAGTACGCCGAACCTCGCCTTCAGGCGGCGATCAAGCGCAGCGAAGTGGTCCTCTCGAACTTCACCGCCCTCCTCGACCGCGCCTATGACCGTTTCCCAGGGTTCTTCGAGGAGGTCATTCCCAAGGTTGAAACTTATCAACAGGAGGTTAAACTCCTGCGGGAGGCTTATCAAGCGTGGACGGAGAATAACACCGTTCCAATGGAAAATCTGATGTGGCACCTGCCGGGGATGGTCTTCGACCTGGAGGAGGGTGGGGAGCAGGTGCTGGCCACTTCCTTTGTGCAGACGGCGACGACGAGGATTGCCGCTCAGGAGAAGAGGTAAACTTTTTTTTTATCGAAATTTCGAACTTTTTGCCTAACTTTTTTTTCTAATTTTTTCAGCATTCGCCACGAGATGACCCTCATCAACCGACTGATCCAAGCGATGGAAGCCCAGCTGGGAGCTAATCAAAACTTTACCGTCACCGAGCTGCTCAACCTGACTTCCGCTTACCTGAGATTTCCACTTCAGGAGGCAATCAAGAAGATCAATTTTACCTCGGCAAACGATCGACCTTCGGAAAATATTACTGATGATCAGTTTGTGGACGTCATCTTTGAGGTGGCCCGAATGGAGGAGCAGCTGACTGGGCTGCTGGAGCTGNAAAAACCTCTCTTTTTTCTTTTAATCTTATCAACAAACAGCAAATCAATCAATCGACTTTGTCTTTGCGCTGGCTTCAAACTACCGTTCTTTTCACTCTCACTTCTTCTCTTTCTCCCTCTCCCTTCTCTTTTTCTTATCAGCCATTGCTCTGACACTTTTTTTCCCTTATCAGCCAACAAAAAAACTGTTCTTTTTTGCCGTCCTCAATTTCTCCCGAAGTACTCAAACCGATTTTTAGCAGCTAAAGACACCGAAAAAAGAAGAAAGAAAAGCAAAACAGAGCTTCTAACAGACTTTTCAAACCTCGGAGAAAAAGATGGCCAAACTCCTTCTTCTCATTATCTTTCTCATCTTTTTCAGCACTTTATTTTTCGAGCCAACCTTTTCAAAGAAGTCCCAAAAACCTTCTTCAATTCAGTACGCCGAACCTCGCCTTCAGGCGGCCATCAAGCGCAGCGAAGTGGTCCTCTCAAACTTCACTGCCCTCCTCGACCGGGCCTATGACCGCTTTCCGGGCTTCTTCGAGGAGGTCATTCCCAAGGTTGAAACTTATCAACAGGAGGTGAAACTCCTGCGGGAGGCTTATCAAGCGTGGACGGAAAATAACACCGCTCCGCTGGAAAATCTGATGTGGCACCTGCCGGGGATGGTCTTCGACCTGGAGGAAGGCGGGGAGCAGGTGCTGGCGAGCTCCTTTGTGCAAACGGCGACGACGAGGATTGCCGCTCAGGAGAAGAGGTAAACTTTTTCGAAATTTCGAACTTTTAGCCTAACTTTTTCCCTTTTACTTTTCAGCATCCGCCACGAGATGACCCTCATCAATCGACTGATCCAAGCGGAGGAAACCCTTAATAATCAAAACTTTACCGTCACCGAGCTGCTCAACCTGACTTCCGCTTACTTGAAATTTCCACTTCAGGAGGCGATCAAGAAGATCAACTTCACCTCGGCAAGCGGTCGACCTTCAGCAGAAAATGCCACCGATGATCAGTTTGTGGACGTCATCTTCGAGGTGGCCGGAATGGAGGAGCAGCTGGCCGGGCTGCTGGAGCTAGAGGCGAAGGTGAACCTCTTTTGGAACAGCCTGATTCGCCTTTGGCGGCAGCTGGGAGGGGAGCAGGCGAAGCTGACGAAGTTTGAGGTGAAGAGTCAGCGTTTCCGGTACTTGGAGATGGTGGTGGGGAAGGCGGTGATAAAGGCGAATCGAACCTTTAATAAGGTGGTGAAAGGGGACCGGAAGACAATGAAGGCCTTTGAGGCGTATGTTCGGGGAAACTGATCGATCCCCTGATTCTAGTATAGATCAAAACTTCTGTTAAGATACCAAAAAATCTTAAAATCTTTGGATTTCGATTTGAGAAAATTAGAACCCAAAAAGCTAAAAATAAAAAATCAGAGCGTCACGTCCTCTACGACTGTTATTTAGAACACAGAGAGCGAGATTTTGTTTTTGCTCGCACCAGAAAAAGGTAAACATCTTCGAGATCTTTCCATCATTTTCTTTATCATATCAGCCCGTCCTTCGCCAGACCTTGATGGCGACGTTCCGAGGGCGAACCTCGCCCCCGGCCACCAGGAAGGCGAGCTCCGAGTGCTTGAAGCCAACACTATCTTCACCATTATCACCTCCTCCTCCCTGAACCGTGGCCTCGTCCTTGGGCTCAAACTGCAGCGGCATCGGCGGACTCAGCCTGCCCGGCTTCAACTCCAGCGGACTGACCACCTTGAGCTGCTTCGTTCGATGGACTGTCCTCACCAGTTTCGACAGGCGAGGCGACCAGTCGGGCTGGACGGTACCAAAATCGGCGGACCCATTTCCGATTACCCGAAAGAAGAGGCCCGCGTAGGTGTCACTGACCTCGGTCCAGGCGGCCGCTGGCCAAAGCGATTCAGGGCTCAGATCGCCCGGAAGTTGGAGGTAGGTGAAGCCGATGGGCGGCAAAACCTGCTGAACCTCTTCTCTAACCTCAGTTTTCTTCTCTTGAACCTCTTCTTCTTCTCTGACATTCTTTTTCGAACCCATTTTCTCCAGCTCTCTCCTGAGCTTCACAATCGCCTGATGAAGCCTCGCTGGCGACCAGTTTTGCGCCCGCTGGCAAACGACCAGATTTCGCTTTGCACAGGGGACCTCGATCCACTTTCCCCGCACCGGCTCCTCGGCGGTCATCTGCACGCAGTCGTTTGGTTCGTTGCCCAGGTCGGCCAGGCCCACCCTGCTGGCCCAGTTGCCGAACTGGTCGGGAACCGGTGGCTGGGCCCGATCTTTCGCTTTCGCCGCCAGCCACACCGAATCGACCACCCTGTGCACTCTGAAGAGCAGGTTGACGATGAAGCGCTGCTCGAGGTAGGTGCTGATGCGCAGAAGGCCGCCGCCTTCGGAAATGGAATTGGGTGAAAACGGTGCTGAAGAAGAGGCTGAAGATGATGAGGAGGGCGACGGGAGCTCATCACAGGCCTCCACCGCCTCCTCAAAGGACCTCGTCACGCCCTCCAGCACCTTGAGGCACTTCTCCTCGGCGAACGGCTCCCAGCCGGGGTCGCAGGCCTTTCGGTTCACCTCGTCGTCGTTGCCTTCAGCAGTTTTGTCAGCCTCATCATCAGCAACTGCTAAGGAAAATGCTCCAAGGTGAAACGCCAGCAGAAGAAGAGTTGAAATCACCGAAGAGAAGTGGGAAAAAGAGGGTTTCATTTTACAAAGTTTCATCAAGGTTTGGGTAAGTGCACACGTATTTCCATTTTTCCATCTATCTGCTGTTGTATTTATACGCTGAACGTTTTTTTTATTTGAGTGCTAATCTAGATTGAAGGTTAGCTTTTATGGGATAATCTAGCCTATCAGCTCTAAACTTGAACAAAATCCCTTTTTATTGATTATCCTTCTTGATATTGAAATTGAATTTGCGGTTTTTGAATCTGCTGTTGAGCAAGCTCATTGAGCTGCACTCTTCAGGACAGTTCTCGAGAGTTGCACTGCTCGTTAGATTTCAAATTATAATGTGAGCTTTATTGGGAAATGATCAAACAGCAAAAATGATGTACGCTTACATTTTTTTCTGCTAGTGCAGTGCAAAAAACACTGGTAAAGAGCAGACAGAGATTGCCTGCTGCTCTCACCTTGTTCTCATTTAGCCAATATACCTCATTTTTTCATATCTCTACCTATGCAATCGACTCGTTTCAGCTCGATGCAGTCAATTTATGGCCAATTTTTTGGCGGTGTGCAAGCCTGAAGGGCAACAGAGGCAGAAGCGGTGGCAACGAGCATCATCATCATCATTTAGCTCTTGTGTCTACCGAAAAAGGTAGTCCTTTACCACTTACATTCGTCGTCGCCAATTACTAGAACCGGCATCTTATCAACGATGAATCACTGAACACTATTAAAAACATCATCATCATCACCACCACCACCTTCAAACCATGGCTGAAAGAATCACTGAATCACCACCACCTTCAGCCACAGACCGCAATGGTCAGGTATTCACCACCACTACCACCATCATTGAACTTCAACAATCACCCTCACCATCACCTTCATCACCCCCATCACCACCATCACCTTCATCACCTCCATCACCACCACCACAAATTACCATCACCAGCCCACCACCACCTACCCAGCAACAGCTGTTTCAACGACACAACTCCATCTTCTGCTTTGACAATGCCGCCTACGAGGATGAAGAGCATGAAAGCGACTTTGAAGTGTTCGAGGACGCTGAAACGGCAGTTAAAGTTGACCATCAAGAGGACGAAGAGTACGCCTTTGAGCCAGAGCTTCGCTTTCGCGTTGGCAAGCGCTCCTCCTCGCTGGTGACCTTCTTTCGAAGCTTTAATCCTAGCCGAGGGAAAACGGTGACCATCTCTGAGCCTGAAATGGCAAACAAAGAAGAAGGAGAGGAAGAAGTTGATTCAAGGCGAAAGAGCTCTACTAAAATGCCTCCACGATCATCATCACAAGAAGAGCCTCCAAAACCTCAAAAACCAAGAGCAGAAAATCAGCGACAAAACAACAGCCACAGCACCAGCAGCGACTTTATCCCCAAACCTGTGCCATTTAAGGCGCCCGAGCGGTGGATTCCCTTTTTCTCGCTGGTAAGTTTTTCTACAAAACTTTAAATTTTAACTCATCTTTTTCCCTTTTTTTTAGTTTCGCTACGCCACCCGCTGGGACCGCTTCCTCATCGCCTTTGGCTTTCTGATCACTTTTCTGGCCACGTGGCCCGTCCCGGCGCTGAACCTCATCTACGGACAGGTGGTGAACAATTTGGTGCACTACGAGGGGAGTTACTACCACAAGATCAACTCCTCCTCCTCTTCTAAAACTTCCACCACCTCAAATTTTGGCGCCAAATCTCGAGGCCGTCTTGGGCTGATGGACGACTTTTGTGACGGCCGAGTGAAAAAAGAAGATTACTACCTTCAAGAAAACTCCCATTCAAAAGTGTTCGACAGCTCCTCCTTCGAGCACGACTACCTCCTCTGTCAGGTCTATTTCCTGAGTGTAACTCTGCTCCTCATCGCCGCCTGGTACGTCTTTGCCTGCTACCTCAGCATGCTCTGCTTTGAGCTGGCCGCTTTTCGAATGTCGCTCACTATTCGACGGCGACTCTTTCGGGCCCTTCTTCGCCAGGACATTGCCTGGTTCGACGAGCAGACGAGCTTTGATGTGATGAAAAAGACGTCCACGTCCACGGCTTCAAAAACCGAAGAAAATTATTCTCAAAATCAGGAAAGCCAGGTAGACTCAAAGGCTAAGGTGCAAAACACGGAATTTTCTACTCGGGTGGCAAAGTAAGTC